AGAAGTACTATAGGATCCAGCTATCCCGCTCCTTGGAATATATCCTAGAGAAGTAAGAGCTGTCACATGAATAGATATATGCACAACCATGTTCACTGCAGCACTGTTCACGATAGCAAAAAGATGGAAACAACCTAGGTGCCCATCAATGGACGAATGGATAAACAAATTATGGTATATCCACACAATGGAATAGTACACAATGGTAAAGAACAATGATGAAGCCATGAAACAACTTATAACATGGAGGAAGCTGGAGGTCATTATGCTGAGTGAATTTAGTCAGTCACAGAAGGACAAATATTGCATAAGACCACTATTATAAGAACTCAAGAAAAGGTTTTTTTCCGAAAACATTCTTTGATGGTTACGAGGGTGGGGAGGGAGGGTGAGGGTTATTTACTAACTACATAGTAGACAAGAATTATCTTAGGTGAAGGGAAGGACAGCACACACGACAGGGGGAGTTAGCGCAACTAGACTAAACCAAAGCTAAGAAGTTTCCTGAATACAATCAAACGCTTTGAGGGACAGAGTAGCAAGGGTAGGGGTCTGGGGACCATGCTTTCAGTGGACACCTAGGTCAACAAAGCTTATTAAGAAAATGTTCTGCATCCTACTTCAGTGAGTGGCGTCTGGGGTCTTAAAAGCTTGCAAGCAGCCATCTAAGATGCATCAATTGGTCCCAACCACCTAGAGTAAAGGAGAATGAAGAACACCAAAGACATAAGGAAAGTATTAGCCCAAGTGAGAGAAAGGGCCACGTAAACCAGAGACTTCATCAGCCCGAGACCAGAAGAACTAGATGGTGTCTGGCTACCACCAATGACCACCCTGACAGGGAACACAACAGAGTCCCTGATGGAGCAGGAGAAAGGCGGGGTGCAGAACTCAAATTCTAGTAGGAAGACCAGACTTAAGGGTCTCATTGAGACCGGAGGAACCCCGGAAAGCATGGCCCCTGGATCTCTATCAGCCCAGAACTAAAACAATTTCTGAGGCCAACTCTTCAGACAGGGATTGGACTGGACTGTGGGACATAAAGTGATACTCGTAAGGTGTGTGCCTCTTAGCTCAAGTAGATACAAGAGACTAAATGGGCAGCTTCTGTCCAGAGGTGAGATGGGAAGGCAGAGAGTGTTAGGAGCTGGTTGAATGGACATGGGCAATCAGGGGTGGAAAGGAGGAGTGTGCTGTCACAATATGGGGAGAGCAATTAGGGTCACATAACAATGTATGTATAAATTTTTGTACGGGAAAAAATTAAAAAAAGAAAGAAACATTCTTTGATGATTACCAGGGAAGGGAGGGGGAGGGAGAGTAAATTACTAAATAGAAGACACTTGGTAATACTGGTGAAGGGAAAGGCAACACACTATATGGGGGAAGTCAGCGCAACACGACAAAGGCAAAGGAAGACAATGAGAGGAACACAAGAACAAAGGGCAACTACGGCAATCACTATAACATAGACAATCCTGCAACAACAGTATTAATAAACAATAATTTACGAAGGGATACACAGGTAGATAAGTATGCTAAAGAGGTGTGGGAGGACGTAAGGGAGCACACTCACTTGCAGATATAGGTTAGGTTGTGGATATCTCTACATACATTATTTGTAGATACTGCGTGTATACTAACAGAGACAACAGAACATACAAGGGGCACAGTCATGGAAACTTCTTAAGCACAACCAAACACCTCCTGGGACAAAGATACTAAGCTTGCAGGCTAAGGATCAAAGACTCGGGGGTATCTATGTCAACTGGCATAACACAGTGCATAAAGACAATGTTCTACATCCTCCTTTGGTAAGTAGCGTCTGGGGTCTTAAAAGCTTGTGAGCAGCCATCTAAGATAAACTAATGGTCTCTTCCTGTCCGGAGCAAAGAAGAGTCAAGGAAACCAAAGACTCAAGGGTGTAATCAGTCCAAAGGATTAATGGATCATATGCACCAGAGCCTACACAACTCTGAGACCAGAAGAACTAGAAGGTGCCCAGCTACCACTAACGACCGCTCTCACCAGCATCACAGTAGAGGGTCCCAGACAGAGCAGAAGAAAAATGTGGAACAAAAAACAAAATTCCTAAAAAGACCAGACTTACTGGCCTGACAGAGACTGGAACAACCCCCGAGACTATGGCCCTATGACACCCCTCTGACTGGGAACTACAGCCATTCCTGGAAACCACCTTTCAGCCAAGCAACAGACAGGCCTATGATATATGCAATAACACTCGAAAAGAAGTGCTCCATAGAAAAACCAATTATAAGAAAACAAAAGGTCAACATTTGCCCAAAAGAACAGATGAGAAGGCCGGAAGGGGTAGGAAAACCAGGAGAAACGAAATGGGGAACCCAAGGTGGAAATGGTGAGCGTGTTGACACAGTGTGGGGATTACAACTAACGTCATGAAATACTTTATGTACCATTTGTTGAATGGGAAACTAATTTGCTCTGTAAACTTTCACCTAAAACAATAAAATATTACAATAAAACAAAAAAACATTAGACAGAAAATAAATCTCACGGTCCTAAACATTATGTGGATCTTTTCTCTTTCCAAGATCCAGGAAACAAACTTATGTTGCTCTATCAATTATCTTACATGAAACCTAGGGCCAGAAGTTTCAACCAACTTCATCTTCAGACTAGATGGGAGAAGAACAAATTTACCTCTAGGTATAATCAAGAACAACATACATTCATTTAATAGTGACTAAGAACTCTAAAAACTAAGGATTAGCCTAGTTAATTTACTAAGACTTCTTTTCTCTGAGAAATATCACTCTCCCCAATACCAGGGCATCTTTCAAACAAAAAAGAAGTGATCTCTAGGGTGATTACCTTAGGCCCTGTGCAAACCAGTCATGTAATGTTAGGATGCGTCTATCATTAATGCTCACACGAGGCTCTCTTTAGCAGACTTCCTTGGAGAGTCTGACAAGCAACTCTCCCAAGTGTCCTCCCTAATCACAGCAATTCTCCTGAAGGACACAAATGATGGGATCTACCTACCATCCATTCTGGAGTCTCTGGGTGGTACAAATGGTTAACACGCTTGGCAGCTAACTGAAAGTTGGAGGCCTGAGTGCACCCTGAGGTACCTCGGAAGAAAGGCCTTGCAATCTCTTCCAAAAGATCTACCACTGAAAACCCTTCAGAACACAGTTCTACTCTGATGCACACGGGGTCCCAATGAGTCAGAATCTACTCTATGGCAACTGGTGGTACCATCATTTATAACGTGTCTTTTTGAGGTAGTCTTTCCTTCAGCACTGCTAGATTTGTCTTTCTCCATCCACAGCCACAGCCAAGGATGTCTCCATGCAAAACTGTCTAGTGTTTAAATTAAAGGCACACTCACATGGGAAGTTAACCGACACACAGTCAACGAGCCCATAAACGTGAACATACGAAGGGGCTCCACCAACTACTCACGCATTAGAGTTTTTAAAAAAGTAATCTATATAATATTTTTAATTGCTAGGAATAGAATTTTACTAGAACCCATTAGAAACAAAGTTAACATAACCTAAAATGGTAAACAGTATGCTCCGCAGTGGAGGCAATCTCACCTGCATTTCACGTTAAAGCTCCCAGTAAGGGCAATTTCATTTTGTTAGTTTTTTAAAATATTTTATTATTTTCTCGGTGAAAGTTCATATAGTAAATTAGGTTCCCATCTGACAATTTCTACATAAATTGTACAGTGACATTAGTTACACTTTCACATTGTGTCAACATTATCTTTAATTTACTTCTGGCCCTTCCGTTTCTGGTACTCTAGTTTCCCTGCTCCTTTATCTTCTCATGTTTGCTTTACAGTAATTGTTGACCTACTGGTCTCATACCGATTTTTTTTTTCTTTAAATTTTATTTATTTTGTTGTTATTGTTGAAAATATACACAGCAAAATATATACCAATTTAACAGTTTCTACATGTACAATTTAGTGACATCAGTTATGCTCTTTGGGTTGTGTAATCATTCTCATCCTCCTCCTTTTCTAAGTTATTCCTCCCTCATTAACATAAATTCACTGCTCCCTAAGGTTCCTATCTAATCTTTTGAGTTGTTGTTGTTGTCAATTTGATCCCATATAGACAGTTCTTAAACAGCATAATGCTGAAGGCAGACCTCTTTTTTTTTTACTAGTTAAGCTAAACTACTGTTTGGTTTTTAGATGACTTCAAGGGATATTTTCGGTTTAAGGTTTAAAGGTTATTTAAGGGCAATAGCTTCAGGGGTTCATCCGCCCTTGATGGCTCCAGAAGCAATTTTATTTTTAATAGATTAACTCTTGAACCACTAATACCACCTAAGCAGCCACTGGCTTACGCACTTTAGCTGCTGAATGTTATTTCCCCCATAAAAGATGCAATCCCTACGAATCAAACAACGCCAGTGGCTTCTGAAAGCCAAGGACTACTTACATGACTGCCCCACACACCCGTGGGTGGCGACTCATTCCTAGGTAGTCATTGCTACACCAAACCGACACCTGCTTTTTGGTGATGAGGGAGTCTGAGTAGTCATCCGCCATGGGGAAGATGTGTGCCCTCCGGTTCACGGTTTTGAAAACTCGATAGGTGTGGTCATTTTTTTTCTCATCAATTTTCTTCTCAAAGAAACGATCATACTGAAAAGTGGAAACAGCTAAAAAACAAACAAAAGACAGTACAGCCCGATGGTTAAGGAGCATATCTGGGCTTCTGTGACAGGCAGACCTGGGTTCAAATGCCAGCTCGGCAACTCAGCAGCAGGGAGATTCTAGGCAAGTTATTGAAATATCCATCTGAGCAAGCCACTTGATGTCCACATCTTGTGAGGAGTAAATGAGACTGTGCATGTTAAGTGTTTAGCACAGCACCTGGCGTATAGACGGTAGATATGAAAAGAGAGAAGGCAGGCTACCGAAAGGATCTGTAGTCATTATGACCAAGAGCACCTACTCAAATCAAGCAAGGAACATGGTTTTCAGTCCTCAACTCACCATGCAATTTTATGTTTTAATCTGATGTATGTTTAAGTTACAAACTCTCTCCTGCATCAGACAAGTAACAGTAAGGCTTACATTTTGGCAAATTATCTTGAAGAAGATGGGACACTCTTTCTGGTCTTTGCTTTCGCATGATATCTTGGAAGTTCTTCAGCAATCCACTTGGCTCCTCGCCATCGGTCTTCACACTAATTACACGGGGGTTCACAGAGGTTTGGACAACCTCTGTAACAAAAGTAACAAGAGGCAAATGGGACCTACATTCCATTTTTTTTTTTAAATTGTGGTAAAAACATAACACATTTGTCAATCGAACGTTTTTTACACGTACAATCCAGTGACACTGATTACATTCATCGTCTTGTACAATCATCACCAGTACTCCATGTCAAATTTTCCATCACCATTAACGGATACTCGGTGCCCCCTACGCAATGACTCCTCCCTTCCCACCCCTGACAACCATTAATACATTTTGGTCTCTATACACTTGCCTGTTCTACAATATTTCATGTAAGAGGGATCATACAATATTTGTCCTTTCGTGACTGACTTACTTCACTCCCGATATTCTGAGTTTCCAAGACCTCCCAAACATACTGTTAAAAAACAGCTTCCTGCCTGGTTCACACACACACACACACACACACACACACACACACAAAGCCAATCATAACTAAAGTTAATTGTAACTGAGTGTATGAAGCTTCCCTTCTTCTATTTCAGTTATTGTAATGGCCCACGTTTGGCACTGTTTTGTTTTCAGAGCTACCAGCCAGCTTTAAAAAACATTCAAGTCCAAAACTCTCTAGCTGGTCAGCATGTCTTCCTCGTCTGCCCCCTCCTCCGAAACTAATCTCAATTTTCTTCACAGAAAACACAGTCCTGGCTATATGCATAATTTCTGCTGGTGAAGCTTTTTTTTTAGTGGGTAGGGGGTGGGAGCTTGACTGCTCCAAAGAATACAGCCACAGCTGGAATTAAGGTTGCCACTTGATGACCATCAGTAAGACACACGGCTTGGGGGTCCTCAGACCAGCACTTAATGCAGTAACCCCATCTGTTTTTATCTTTGGTCCCACCAGATGGCGGGAAAGAAACAAAGGGCAGTTGGTAGCAGCTTTCGACTACAGAGTGTCGTAAGAAATCAGGCAGTTACTGTAGAAGCTGGTTACATCCTACACACACCAGAAAGTCCCACATTTTGCAATACTGACTGTCAGTCTTTTGCTTATTTATCTTGATGACCTTCCTCCTGGGCCCTAAAAGAGGCAAGTGTTTACACAAATACTGCCATAGTAATGACTGATATACAAATCTGAAGGTTCAAACAAGCCAAAAGAACGTCTTCACGCTGCTTAATGATCTGGCCTCTTCTGCTTACCTTTCCTCAAGGCATGCATTTCCTGCACATCCTCCTGAAGCTCGAGACTGGCTTTGCGGAAGACACTGCTGCCCCTCTGGCTCATCTGGGCTGCTAGGAAAGGGCATTTGCTTGCAGTGCCCTGGCTCGTGGCAGGGGAGAGGTGTTCAGACGGAAGCTGCGCCCCATCTGGAGTCTTCTGGGATCCATCAGAAGCCTGCTGGACCTCGGCTTTGGCAGTTTTGTCCTCTGAGGGACGAAATGGAAAAACTGAAGCATCAGATGTGGCTGCACAGCACACAAGAAAACCACTTGTTTCTTTCTCTTATGGCTTCAAAGATAAAAACTTTATACTCACTCTACCCTATAAGCCAGACACAAGTTTATTTTTATTAGGTCCCGCTAGTCTAGCTCGTTTCTCATCTGCCTCACTGGAAACAATATTCCTGTGATGAGTTACTTGGCACATTCCAGCTCCTTCTCAAACCCACAGTATTTCTCACTTATAAATACTAAAAAGTAGTATTTTCCAGTTTTAGATAACCTAGAGTTCTTGAAGTGGATTATTTCCAGTAAATTCTATCCTAAGTACACTCAGCATATTTCATGAGAGGACACACTTTTTAAGGTAACTGGAAGTGTTTATACACTGTTTTCTCTGCTAATATTTTCTAAAGAAGTTCTTGACAAAGAAGGTTGCTGTTGTTTACATATAAACTACTGGTTTTCTTCTGAACAAAAGAAATTAAATTAAAGGTGAGATCATTAGATTGTTGTCTAAAAGAGTTCAAATATTAGCACGCTAAGGAAAAAAAAAACAGGGATAATTACATTCGCACACCTCATCTACTTTATCTAAATGCATCAAAGAAGTACATTAACTTAACACATTGGCTGGTAATCACGCTTCTAGTTACAATGACTTCCCTCTCCCCTTGAGTGAATTAGTTCACTTTCCTTCTTCTTTCTTCATCAGTTCTGGAATACTCCTGTGAACCACAGGCTAGCCTCTCTTACAAATTGGGTAAGGTGTCTCAATATGATTTTCATTAAAATCTTCTACAAAGGAAAACCAAAAAAATTACTCTGAAGTTCACTGCCCACCCTAAGACAACTCCTTATCCCATTATAAAAGTAACACGTATTTATTAGCGAGCGTCTAGAAAACAAAAACAAAACACGGTCCCATCACTCAAAACCACCAATGCAAACATTTTGGTATATTAACTTTTTCTCCTAAGTACATGTTTTAAAAATACTTTTTATTTATACTCTGTACCTGTTTATTCTGCCTTTTTCATTATAAAGATCTGCCTAAGCTAGTAAACAGAATTTGCGAATATCATTTGCAATGGCTGCATAGTAGTCTACCAAGTGGACAAGCCACATTTTACTCAACTATTCCTTTACTGCTAGGGATGAAATGATGAAAGAGGATTTCGGTCTTTCAGTGAAAAAAAAAATAACAGCAGAGCTCCTGAACAACAGTAAAGAGGAAAACAAATCCTACAAACACAGTATCACCTTTCCACTTAAGAGGAAAAAAATACTCCTTTCTCACAAGTCCACACCCAGAGAACAAATCTGAGAGAAACCTGTAAGGTAGGATATTTTCTAGGATTAAGTGGAATCTGAAAAGCTTCATCCTCTTCTGGCAGAGCCAGACCAAAACTAAATTCAACTGTGATCTCTTTATTGAAAAGAAAACAAAAAAATTATACACAAAATAGATACACGTTTTTAAAAAAAAAAAAAAACTACTTTAAAAGCCAAAGGACAAATATTTGATGAAGAAAAGGTTGGAATGAAGCATTCCAATTTAATATTTACATGAATAAGGCACTGCTGAAACGCCGAAACTGCAACAGACACAGGCATGCAATCCAGAGACCTGTTAGGAGGAAAGCTGGCCACTGTTTCACCTTTAAAGATGGGAACACTACAAGTGCCTACCCTATACGGTTAGGACTACAATCCATGAATTGATCCCTGTAAAGAGCTGGGCTTGGCACAGAGTAACCCTGCTGTTGGTGTGACCCTCAATGCCACTGTGGACTGTAAACGCTTCTAGTCTAGCAATGAGTGCAGACCTCCACCTCCCGCTACACTGCTAATGACACTTACTTTCATTGGCTGGAGGGGTTTCTTTGACCTGCTGGCAGTGAACTGCTGAAGTAGACAGGGCCCGGGGGGCTGGCTTGGCCCCAGCTTCCATCATCTTGGGGCAGTTTTGGGCATAGAACAACAGAGATTTGCCTGCCTTCTGCAGAAAGGTCTGGGGCACTCGGGATAAAAATGGGCAGCGGCGAACAACAGTCTCCATGTCTGGGAAGTGCCCTGGTTCCTGTAAAAAGACTGATGATGAGTGACATCGACACTTGCTAATAATCAGGCAACTACCACTGCAAGGTCACTGGGGACTAGGTGTCACCCGCAGTTTATAGCAAGGGTATCCTGGGATACTAACAAGTCTCACTCAAAACTGTCTAAAGATGGCACCAATGTGGGACTCAACCAAAGACCAGTGACCACTCTCTAACTCCTTCATTCTCTAGCTCTACACAAAAACACCTGCAAAGCAGCTTCACCAAATAAATACTGACAATTAATAACGTAGGGGGTGGGACGATGTGGGACAAGCCAGGAACAGGTTTGGGAGGTCAGAAGCTCCTGGAGGGAGATGCACAGCACAGATAAGACACTTTGGCAGACGCCCAGGGGGAGAAGAGAGGCTGGAAGCGTCACTGTCATTCATCCAAGCAGGCAAAGCTGCCTCTGCTCCCTGACAGCTCAGTGGGGGGGGGAGGCTAGACCTTAGGGACCTTGACTCTCTCCTGTTCCCCACACCTCCAAATCTTAGGAAGGCTCCTAGCCAGGCCCTGGGTCTGTCAGGGAATGATTTCCCGGAGCTCCTTCCCCCATAGCCCGGTGAATGGGGCATAACCGAGAAAGGAGGCGACATAAACAAGGGCAGGATCTGCGGAGAAAGGCCTTTGGGGCTAACTGGGGAGGGCAGGGGCTGTAAAATCCAGCGAGTTGGATCTGGTGGAAGGAGGCAGTCTTCGGGGAATGGGGGTCAGAGGTTACCCAGGAGTCGAGGGCTCGGAAATAACGGGAAGGAGATGAAAAGGGATTCTCAAGCGGCCGGTTAAAAGCGAATGTTAAGAGGGCACCGAATGGGGGCAGCTGGGGCGGACAAACTGGCAGAAAGTCTAGGGGATGAACGCTGACCCCCGAGGCGGCGAGTGACTGGGACGGTGGGGGATGGGGTCTCAATGGCCGGGGGAGCCGGGCCCGGGCTACCAGGACACGTGCGGGCTTCCCCCCACTGGCCCTGCACCCAGAGCGTGGGTCCTCACCTGAGCGGGGGACTCTACAGAGACCGCGGCGACGTCGGGCACCCGAGCCGAGAAGACAAGCCAAACCTTTGCCCTTGTCAGTGAGCAACCTCAGGCCGCGAGCGCTGTCCCTCTAATATACAGTGAGAGGGACCGCTGCGCATGCGCAAAGGCGCGGGCTCCCTCTGCGCATGCGCGCCACTTTGGCTCCGGGCGTCTTGAGGCCAGGGCGGGGAGACTGCCTACGACAACTCGACGGGTGCGGTTGGGCGGGGGGTTTCCGGGCTCGCCAGCCGCAAGGGAGCGCCAAGGCGGTGGGCGGGCTGGATCTCTTTCTCGGACCTCACCCTATGCTCGTTAAACAAAAACCCATTGCTGTGGAGTCGGTTCCGACTCATAGCGACCCTATACCACCCCCGAACTAACTGCCCTGTACTTCAGAATCCTGTGCCCTCATTGTGGGGCATAAAAGGTCAGGGGTCAGAGAGGAAGTGGCACTGTGGCCAACTGGGTTATTGTTAGTTGCCCTCCAGTCGATGGGACTGTGAAAATGGGTGCCTTGGGCAGGGTAGAAGGAGGCGATACAAGGGGATCTGCCCAGGGTATTAAGCAAAATCCGCTCTGTGCGGGGCTGTGATGGAGGTCTTCCCAGAGGAGGTGGGGCTGAATCGCCCAAGAATGGAGTGGTCCTGGAGGCTGGGATGCTCAGAGGATGTTGGGGGCGGTGGGAGGGGGGCAGAAGGGTAAGGAGAACCAGCTCTGGCAGTTTCTGGTCAGAGATGAAGAGACTTAACCTCAGTGCATAGAGGGGACAGAAAGAACAGGGCTGGATGGAACTCCTCAACTCCACAACTAACTGAGCATCTATGGGATAGGGGGAAGGGGAAGGAAAAACAGGGCCTGACGCATAGTTAGGGTTTGACACATATTAACTATTATGTTTATTTTCTATTGGGTCTGTCCAAAGTCCCTTGCCCTGAGTTCAGAGTTGGATTGTGCCAGAGGTGAGCCTCCATCTGCAGAGGAGGCACCTGGGTCCAGAGTGGCACTGGGACCAGATCAGGGACTCGGCGAAGATTCTGGGCTGGGAGTCAAGGGCCCAGCTCTGCCGCATCCTGCTAAGGGGTCTGAGCAGTGCCCAGCAGCCAGAGAGAAGGAGAAAGGAAAGATCAGCACCTAAACTCAAACCCAAGTGTAGCTAGAAGTAGGAATGGGCAAGGATGGTGCTGAGTGCTTTGCCCATCTCTGGGCCTCACTTTCCTCATCTGGGCAATGGGACCTAATCCCTGTCATACTGGCCTCACAGGGTTGTTTGGGTGATAAAAGGCAAAGCAGAAGCAGAAAGAGCTGGACTTAGGAGCTGGATGTGGGTTCCAAACCTGTCTCTGAATTATACTTGGCCGTAGCCTTGGCCACCACCCCTCTGAGGCTTGGTTTCCTCATTTGTAAAGCTCTCCCAGCCCTGCTATTTATGGTTGACTGAAGGGTCAGGTGAAGTCATGGATTTCAGAGTCTTATTGTTAAACCGACAAGCGTCCAGCCCTCCGGGAGTTTCCTGTTTAATGGAGGGAATGGTTGGGAAACAAGGCAGACTCACATGGAAAGTGAAACAGAATTTCTAAACAATTCCAGATGGAGGAGGAGGGTGTTACTCTAGCAGGCGCCGAAGGAGGGGGCATCGCCAGGAAGGCTTCCAGAGGAGAGGCCGGTGCTGGCTGAAAGGGTGTGTCTACCTGAGACCAGGAGGCTGGTGGGTGAAGGGTCTAGTGGGGAAGGCCCAGGCCTGTCAGGGTGGGTGGGGGGTCAGTGTCAGTCAGCCCAAATAGCTGGGCTGCCGTGGGTGGGGGTGGGGAACAGCCAGAACATGGGGACAGGAAGTTGAATTAGAAAGGCCACAAATGAACTAGAGTCACAGGGCTTCCCACCATGAGAGCTTAAAGACCCACCACCAGGTCGCTGTTTAAAATGCAGATTCCTGGGCCTGCCCCTTTGATTCTGTCCCAGGAATCTGCATTTTAACCAGGCCACCCTCCTGGTGATGTAGGGATGGGGTGTCTTGGGGCCACTGAGTGGTTTCCAGTTTGAGGCCTAGAAGGGCATGGGCTAAAGCCATGAGTTCTAATCCTGGTTCTGCCACTTTCTGACCCTGGGATCTTGGGCAAATTACCCCCATAACCTAAACCAAACCCCTTGCCATCGAGTCCATTCTGACTCACAGCAACACTAAGCCTCGCTTTTAGCATGTGTGAAGTAGAAGCTACTCCATCTGCCTCAGTGGTGAGTCTGGGTGGGCCCCATTCTGGCAGAATTTTGATCCCTCTCCTGGGCTCAGCCTTCTTCCTCCCTTCTCTCTCATCCCTTCATTTCTTTCCCTCACTTCCCTTTTTTTCTCTCCATTTCTCACTTCCCTGTCTCTTCCCTCCCTTTCTCCTTCCCTCCTTCCCTGCCCCCAGCCTCAGAGCAGCCTCCAAACCCATCTTATCACCCTGGCCCTGGGCAGAGGAGCCCAAGCTGCTGGAGTTCAGGCAAGGTCAGGCCCTCAGTCCGCGTCATCACCAGCAGGGGCTGCTGCACACAGCATCCGCCCAGCGGTCAAGGCAGAAGAAAAATGTCAACGCCAGCCCCAGCATTCTTGCCTTCCTGCTCTGGGCCCCAGGAGGGCCCCAGGAGCTGTTTTTAGCAGAGTCCTTCCGTGAGGATCTAGTAGCTGAGGACCTTGGACAAGCTTACTGCTGTCCTCTGGGCCTCAGTTTCCCCATCTGTTAGCCTGACAAGAAATCCTGCCAGCCTTCAACTGGACTAAACCAAAGCTAAGAAGTTTGCTGAATACAACCAAACATTTTGAGGGACAGAGTAGCAGGGGCGGGAGTATGGGGATCATGGTTTCAGGGGACAGCTAGGTCAATTGGCATAACAAAGTTTATTAAGAAAATGTTCTGCATCCCACTTTGGTAAGTGACGTCTGGGGTCTTAAAAAGCTAGTGAGCAGCCATCTAAGATGCATCAATTGATCGCAACCCACCTGAAGCAAAGGAGAATGAAGAACACCAAAGAAACAAGGAAAATATTAGCCCAAGAGACAGAAAGGGCCACATAAACCAGAGACTTCATCAGCCTGAGAACAGGCTGATGGTGCCAGGCTACCACCAACGACTGCCCCGACAGGGAACGCAGCAGAGTCCCTGACAGAGCAGGAGAAAAGCAGGGTACAGAACTCTATTTCTAGTAAAAAGATCAGTCTTAATAGTTTGACTGAGGCTGGAGGGACCACAGAAGACACGGCCCCCGGACTCTCTGTTGGCCCAAAACTAAAACCATTCTCGAGGCCAACTCTTCAGACAAAGATTAGACTGGACTGTGGGACATAAAATGATACTCGTGAGGAGTGTACTTCTTAGCTCAGGTAGATACATGAGACTAAATGGGCAGCTCCTGTCCGGAGGTGAGATGAGAAGGCAGAGAGGGTCAGGAGCTGGTTAAATGCATGCGGGAAATCAGGGGTGGAAAGGAGGAGTGTGCTGTCACAGTACAGGGAGAGCAACTAGGGTCACATAATAATGTGCGTATAAATTTTTGTATGAGAAACTAATATGAATCGTAAACTTTCACTTAAAGCACAATAAAAAGAAAGAAATCCTGCCAGCCTTCCCATCAAGGAGACCTAGGGTGGGAAGCAGAAAGCCTTGAAGAGAGACAAAACCTGCAACCTGTGTAGCTGATGCTCAGTGTGATCTTGGGCCAGCTGTGCTCCTTGGGTGTCAGTGCTGGGAGACGGGTG